ACAGAAAAGCTGCTGGTGGTATTGGCGCTATAGGTGGCTTCAGTAGAGTGTCTGACTCGTGAGTATTAATCTTTAACGTTGTTCTATTGAACAGATTACGTACTGCGCTGTGTTCTATATTCATAGACTATGGTGAACATGGCGAACAGGACCTCCTTCTATTTCTGCCCCCACCCTACACTCAACTCTAGGATTCTCTTCCGTTCCGGGTATGACAATAAACTACATCCGTGTCCTGGGTAAGACGATAAACTACATCCAACAGCAAGGCCTCTGATCAGGAGGTTTTGAGGAGCGTGGAACAAAATAATTAACCCCCAAACTGGGATCAAAACACTATGAAAGTGTAAAAATAGATTTTAATACCAGAAATAGTTTGTAAAAACATCATTACCAGCAATAAATTTTTGAAGAAAAATTATTACCAGCGATACATTTAAAAAAAAGTTACCAGCTATACATCTTTGAAAAACAAACATTATCAGCGAGCGAAAATTATTATCAGAAATAGACTTTTGAAGGAAAAAATATTACCAGAAATGGATTTTTTGAAGGAAGGAGTATTACCAGAAATAAATTTTTTGAAAAAAATAATACCAAAAATGAAAATTTTGTCGGCATTAGATGACTCATTGAGGTTGATATGCCGTAAAACAAAACAAACCAAGCAAACAGCCATGATTCTCTTGTTTCACCGGAAACCGTGGCCTCGACGGGGCGTACCTGTTTTTTTTTTCTGTGTGGGCAGAATGCATTACCAGCGAAAGACGATAACTGTTTTTCATGTGGAAAAAAGGGAGTCACTGGTCTAAAATAAAAATGAGTGTCTCTGTGCCCTGCGCATTCTCGTCGGCTTCATTTAGTTGCTTATTGAAAACTACTACAAAAGTCAAGGAGGCTAATGGACTCCTTCTGGACGCTCTAGTTGATAAGGTAGCATAGAAAATTTTATTGACGCGGGCATCGCGAATTCAAACCGGTGGAAATATTTCCCAGTCTCAAGTAGAATAACAATGGCTAACTCAGCATTATCGTTTCCATTACCTGGATACTCTCTAGTGGACTTGAAAATAAAAGAGGTCTCGTACAATAAAGTAAAATTCTTAATAATAAAGAACCTCTGCTGCTGTGTAATTCTGGGATACGATTTCCCCCGATAACTCTTTCATGTCCAGATACCATTTGGTGAGCCCAAACCGTCATTACAATTATGTGGACTAATATGCCTTACCCGGAACTCTTCACAAATTTAATGCCTGGCTGCAAACCAATAGGCAAAAGATCAAGACGACATAGGAATGAAAACATTAATACCGAGATTAAAAGAATGCTCAGAGAAAGGATAATAGAACCAAGCCACTCTACATGGAGATCCCAAGTCCTTGTAAGGTCTTTAGAAAATCACAAAAAGGAATGGTTATCGACTATTCGCAGGTCATTAATAAATTCACCCTGCTGAATGCATATCCTTTACCGCTTATCTACGGCACGATCAGAGAGTTTGGTAAATATAGCGTATATAGTACGTTAGATCTTCGAAGTACTTCCTACCAGGTCGCAAAAAAACAAAACAAACAAAAAAACTAAGTGACAAAGCCTATACTGCATTCGAGGTCGGAGGTCGGCTGTACCAATTTTACAGAATTCCCTTCGGTGTAACGAACGGCGTGGCCAGTTTTCAAAGAATAATAGACAAAATAATCTTAAAAGAGAAATTAAAAGTTACCTTCGCCTATATAGATAATATAACTTAAATCTAAACCGTGATTCAAGGCGTCTGCTCTCTTTTTTTCATCTTCGGATTACCTGCTGAGATCCACCTTGACCGGGGGACCACCTTTATGTCAGATCGCGTCAAGCAATTCTTGCGAGAACAAAGAGTGGCCGTAAGTAGGTCAACACCTTATAAGGACAATGTGAAAAGTACAAAAGTATAATATGTAAGTCAATACAAATGGCTTCTTACCATGGGTACTCGATAGGCTGCTGGGAAAATCTCCTCCATGAGACTCTATATGCAATTAGAAGGATGCTGTGTACAACAACTCTCACTCCACATGAAAGGTTCTTCTCCGACGACGAAGCTCTACGGTTACTTCCATCCCATCTTGCCCTTCGCAATCCGGTGCCGTGCTACTGAGACGTCATGACCGTCAGAGCAAGCACGAGCCGCTTATGGACCAAGTAGAGCTAACAGAGGCAAACCTCGCTAAGCTCGAATACGCTATGCAGACGGAAGACAAGATACTGCTCCTCTAAGAGATCTGACCACACTGGGAAAGGAAGAAGGTCATGTAACTGTACAAGAAGTATCTGCAATGCCCATAAAAATACATCGAATGATGATTTCTCTGACAACACTCCCTGGTCTCCTGACGAAGGTTAACTAGGACCATCAAGTCCAGGATTCTCATGATACAACCCTAGCTCTGACGAACGGTCGGTAACTCAGAAACGATCTTACACTAATACGGACTCTTCTAATCCAGAAGACGAACAGTTCGAGCGAGACGAAAGCGTGTCTAAGAACCCAAACTAAGGAAAAAACACAAGAAAGACTTGATAAGGTCAAGCCATCTCGATGATCTAAAAAGACATGTAAGCGGACCGAGGGTTTACGTGTTGTTAAATTAAGAACATGTGTGTAACTCCGGATAGAATATTAAAAGGTCCACTACAAGATAATGGGGGACTCAAGTTGAGTCTAACCGAAGATGTAAAGAAAACAAAGACCGATATATATATATATATATATATATATATACCATTAAATGTTTTAAGACATTTTTATGTTATATATTCTTTTATAGATACATATATTTAAATAAATTCTCTCTGTATAATAAACAATATTAAACAACATTTACCGGCCTGAATGCCTGAGAAATTTCCGACAGTAATATAGTAATAACTCTAAGTAGAAGCATATGAAGCTTTAGTTGACTCATTCAGCTTCAGTGCTGAAAAATGTTTATTTTATTGTGATGGATGGTTGCAAACGAGAGGAATTTTCTGTGAAAATTTCTCAGACATTCAGGCCGGTAAATGTTGTTTAATACTGTTTATTATAAACAGAGCATTTACTTAAATATTTGTATCTATAAAAAGAATTAAAAAAATGTCTTAAAATAATTGTCGGACTTTGTCCATTACATAATGTGTGACGTCACAAGTATATGTATGAAAGAACAAAATTTTCAATGGACAAAGACATCAACATTTGTTTGTGCGTGAACGTAAAGAGTTTGTATTTTGATGAATGTTCGTACGTACGTGTATGTGTGTGTGTGTGTGTTTCATTGTGTTTTCCCACAAGTGGGTAAAACACAAATCTCTGCGAGAAATCACATTTTGTAAATGTGTCCATTGAAATGCAAAGTAAATAGGGAACGAGGCAAGAAATCGCACAGTATTTATAGTGTAGGGAGAGCGTGCCCTAGTGAACAATTAGGAAATTAAGGAGTAGTTAACTCCGACAGACACGTAAGATACCCTGTCATTTGAAGGATTTTCTTTCATATGAATAAAATACTAGGTGAGAATGTGGTAATAAAATAAGCACATCTTATCTCCCCCCTCGTTAATAAAATAAGCACATCCCATCTCCCTCTCGTTATAAAATAAGCATACGCCATCTCCCCTCTCGCTAATAAAATAAGCACATCCCATCTCCCCTCTCACTTATAAAATAAGCACATCCCATCTCCCCTCTCACTAATAAAATAAGTACTCCCATCTCACTAATAAAATGAGCACATCCCATCTCCCCTCTCGCTAATAAAATAAGCACATCCCATCTCCCCTCTCACTAATAAAATAAGCACATCCCATCTCCCCTCACGCTTGTAACCATCCATCACAATAAAATAAACGTTTTTCAGCACTAAAGCTTCATATGCTGCTTACCTGGCACAGGGCTCGTCCCTGGGCTGGTAAGTATCACTGCTATGACTAGCTTAGACCAGCTCTGACCAGCTTGGACAAGCTATGACCACCTAAGACCAGCGGCCCGAGTGGAAACATTCGGGTTCCCCACTTTAAAAACTGACCTTGTGTCACATCCTGACTCAGTGAGGGGTCAAGTAAATATCTACTTAGAGTTATTACTATATTACAATGCTTATTACATGTTCACTCCAGGTGTTTGGTAATTGTTGCTTAGAAATCAAATTATAAGTCTCCCAAATATCCCTCACCCACTTCAGTACTTCTGTTTGTCGGGAAAACCTGAACGCTCGCTTTAATCTATAATTTTCTGGATTTTTTCTTCAGTTTTGCTTTGGGGATAATTATTGGGTATCAAATCCTGAATCTATTTTCCAGTTCCCTCATTTCTCAAGTGATGTTCTGGTATTTTGGTTTTATTTGGTTTTGTTTTTTTGGTCGGCTCCAATCTCCACGTCAACGATTTAAGAAAATAACTTTTGTCTGAATTTTATTGGTTGGATTGTGTCGTTTGTCTGGATCACAAAATCATGAGCAACCCGTAGTCACTGAAACGGTGACTCATTTTTTTAAAACAACGGTCACTTAGACTGTGAGTCACATGATGTAATGAAACATTGGACACGTAAATAGAAACGAAGTGAATCAATAGTATCAGCTTCCAAAAGATTTCATTGCAAACTTGAATATATTCTTTTGCCCGCACAGGCAACAAGGGGTGTGTGTGTGTAAACACCATATATTGGTACCTATGTACTACAGTAACGCTTCATCACACATTTTAAATGTGTACACAGCAAGAGAATTTACACAACAAATAATGTACGTCCATCAACTCATACAATATCTTGCATGTTTATCTTTTCATATACACATTTACTGAATTCTCAAATATTTATAAGACAACGTGTGAGTGAAATCGTATGTGTCGAGGTATAGGGTATAGATGTGTGAGAGTGTATATGTGAATGAGAATGTGTGTAACTGTTACTGTGTGAGTGTTTGTGCCTGAGAGTGTATGGTTGTATGCGTGTACATCTACTATACACACCTGAATGATTCATATAAGTAAGTATACTCGTCCGGAAAAAACCTTAGGTGCATTGGTTTGTAAATGAACAAACCAATACCCAAAGAAAAAAAAGGAATAAAAAGAAAGAAGTAAGAACATGTGATTCAGGCGAAAATAATCTGTTAATAATAAAGAGTCCAAAGAAAAAAACCTTCGACACAAGTAAAATAAAAATAGCTAAGCAAAGTTCTCAATACGCTAAGTAGAGCAAATCCAACTATGAACCCTGACGATCCGCGTAGGTGAAACCTAGGTAGGTTTGCCTGGCTCTTTCATAGTTATATATATATATATATATATATTAATACGCCGATTAATAAAATTTGAGAAATAAAAAAAAGTCAACAAAATGATAATATTGTTAATAGGATTGATGACATTTTAGCCTTTTGAATAAATTGAAGCACAAAGAAAAAAATTAAGTTTGGAATTTTAGGACACGCGAGATTGCTGACTGGCTTTTTATTCCTCAAATTTTATGAACCGGCCTATTAAGTTTATATATTATAAGAAGCACACAAGGGCTATGTTTAGTTTTATATATATATATATATATATATATATATATATATATATATATATATATATATATATATATATATAAGGCATGGTGGAGTAATGGATAGCGGCTTGGATTGAGGAATCGGAGACGAATCCATTACATTCACTTACGTGCTAATACCCTTGGGAAAGGTGTGAATCCTCTTCTTCTCCCTCAAGCTATGGGTAAATAGCAGGACAGACTGGGTTCTATAGTCTTGGATGGCAACTAGTCTAGGAGAAGGACAGCTTTGAATTCAAAACCTGCGGAGGGTCGTTTGGGGACCTTGTGGCACGTCGTGCACCAGGTCTCTGTATTCGGCCCTTCAAAAAGTCTGGATGATCCTGCACGAAACCTTCACCACTATAATCATATCTCATGGGATATTTCCGCTACATGTGCTGTTGTCGGGCTGTCGGTTTCCTAGGAACTGATCTGCTTGACCCTCATACGTCGAATTCGACGTGAGAGTCGATATATATATATATATATATATATATATATATATATATATATATATATATATATATATATAGTGCTGATTTTAATAAAATAGTGCTCAATGTAATAAAACAGATTTATTAATTATATATTAATAAATGTGCATATTATTCTTCACCGGTTGGACGATTCGGAATTTCATACACATGGCAATCTTCAGGTGCTGACTATAGACTGACCGTTACGTAATTTAAATTTTAATCAAAACGTCTGGTTACTGCAATTTTGGCACAGTCAAATATATATTTGATATCTAAAATAAACGGGATTATATATATATATATATATATATATATATATATATATGCGTGTGTGTGTAAAAGTTATTTCAGAATGGTGAATATCAATTTTTTTATATTAAGAATAAAGGGAGATTATTGGTTCTTTAAAAAAAAACAAACAAACCATAATTTATATTACAAAATTAATCTGGATGAACGTATTTCATCTAATATTTACTTTTATGCCTACATGTAACCATCAATTCATTTCTCTTGTTTAATAAGTTAGGGATATTTAAGTGTTTTAAAATAACTAATTTTTCAACAAGGCATAAATTACATCTTTCAATTATCCCATTGTAACATTTGGCTTTTGCTACAATATGCGACATAATAATGTGTATATTACCACCATTTTTTAATTGCCAGAAATATTTAGAAAAAGAAATGCTATTTGTGTATCTTATATTGCCTTAAGTCTTTCGATAATAGTAGAAACGAAATTTCTAAGGATTTGCTGTGGAACCAAAATAAAATTTGACATCATTAACGGAATGTATGGCAGCTCGGTATACAATATCATCATTCATACATTGCCCGTTTAAGGGACAAATCATATTTTTTCGGTACTTGCATTTATTTAAAAAAAATGACTTTGTTAGACATGCATCTGTTTAATATAATATTGATATGTTGCGATAAAGATTTATCGATCTTACTAATGCAGCTATAGCTGATCTTAACATTATTTTTGTTAAAAAATCTTTATAGAGAGAGATATCAGAACAATTTTAGGCAGCTGAATGACAAAGTGGAACAATACTGGGTAACGCGCTTCGTCGTCTAGAACGACTTCATAGAGCGAAAGTAATGTTTTTAATTGCTGGAATTATAGATGTGAAGTAGGAGTTGGGGAAGATATAAATGCGATTGTCGGTTATAATTATTCACTTTCCCTACGCCTTTTTTTTTGCTCTTAACCTTTCTTTTTTACCATATTGGGACAACAGAAGATCAGCCAAGAGAGGTAAAATGTTGTAAGAACAAGAATGTACATTTATAGTGGATGATTTAGCAATATATATATATATATATATATATATATATATATATATATATATGACAAAGTAGGAAAAAGTTTTTCGTGTGACTCCATCAGACTAAATTGGTTAACGATGGCGCGAGTACACATGCGCATGACCGAGAAATGCTGGGAATTTTAAATTATAAATTTTAAATTACTTTCTATTTTTTATTTATTTAAATTTTATTTAAATTATTTTTATTGTATTTTTGGGTATATAATCTAATCAATTTCATTTAGATTATTTTTCTCTTCTGTTTCCATCACTGTGGTAATAGGAGATTGATGTTGCAAGAGCCTAGGCGTATTTTTACTGTGGATGATCTAGAGATCAAGATACTCTCTAAACATTTTCGTGAACTGTTTCCTCATTTGATCGGAGTAGCATTTTTTATATAAAAATTGTGGTCAGACTTGTTACGGTGATCAACTAATGCATTTAATATGCTGTTTTGTAAAATGTCGCTTTTGTGTTCATATAAACTTTTATTTAAATTCCTTGTGGTTTCTCCTATGTATTTTTCGTTACAATTATTACAGGCGATCGAGTAAATTCCTCCTTCAAGTTTTAGCTTATTGTTTTGTATTGACCAAGTCTTTTATTGTTTTAGATGTAGTTGTAACAAATTTTATGTTGAGTTTAGATAAATTCTTTACAATTGTAGCCTTGATAGAGTTAGTTGGCAATATATGTTCATAATTCCTTGGGTTTATCCGGAGGGTTCATTTTTCTATTTTGGAATATTTTATTGGCCTTTTTTCGCATTGAATATGAAATAGTTATGATATTGAAGAAGCTTGAAAGTGTTTTCAATGTCGTTCCCCACTTCATATAAATATTGTGGGCTGCAAATTCTGAATGCTCTTAAATAGAATCCGATGATTAATACGGATTTTATTTTGTTGTTATGATGAGAATAAAAATTTATTAGATTGTTTTTGTTGATTCCCGGTGGACACCAAGTTTTAAGCTATTATTAAAGCAGTGAAGCATTCTCTCTAGGAAAGGCAAAGATTTGCATTCTTCCATTTCGTATGTAAATTCTATTCTGTGTTCGACTTTGTTTAGTTTATCTACAAGTTCAGGCAAATCAGTATCACGATTATATATCAATAGAACATCATCAGTATATTGGAAGTATGTTGATTAATTCGATAAAATATTTTGGCAGGGAACAGATTCGAGAATATATATGCTATCACTCCACTAATAGGCGATGCCATTGGTAATCCAAATTTCTTTTTGTAAAAATTATTAAGTGTAAAGTAGTATTGATTGGTGATGAGTGGACAGATTTTTTTTTATTATTTTAGCTATAGGTAGGGAGAGATTTATCTTTGATTGTGTTAGATGCTTTTTAAAGTGATTTAAGCATTTTTTAACTGAGACATTAGTGTAAAGTGATTTTATATCTAGACTGGCCACAGTTTGTCAGTCATGTTTATTTCTCTTAGTTTTCAACATAGCTGCCTGAGTTTATATATATATATATATATATATATATATATATATATATATATATGAGATGGGTTAATTGTTCCAAGGAAAAAATAAACAAAAGTAACTTAAAATTCATAATTAACAGAATTTATCGTTTGCGCGCATGCGTAGTCGCTCCAACGTAAACAAATTTATCCCGATGAAGTGCTAAAAGATGAAACACGTCACTTTTTCCACTTCGTTATACATCTTTCCTCACAAATTGTTCTTGATATATAAAAAAGTTATCTATCTATCTATCTATCTATCTATCTATCTATCTGTTACCATAGCACGCGTAAAAATAACATGATTATTTGCATATGGAATGGTACTTCTGACTTGCCTATCTGGCGCTCTATGTAACTTAATATTTAGAAGTTAATTTTCCCATGCAAGAAAAACGCTAGCATATTGGAAATGTTATCTTGCCTGGTTACCTGCAGGTCAGACGTTTGTATCAGAACAAGATTCACATAAATAATCTGTTTGTTTTAGCGTGGTGACAGGTGAGTGGATAGAGCTTACGTAATTATAAACAGTGTAGACAAAAGAAAAAACACTGTATGGTGACTAACATTTCTATTCCCATAGTAATATTTGTATTTCACTGTCATATAGGAGGTTCGAAATTATGTAACATTTCTATTTTCATATGTTCAATATCTATCTATCTATCTATCTATGGAGTCTGTCTATATTTCTGAGATGAGGTATTATGTACATTATTTACATTATTCGGACTATTGCCCTCATCTTTGTCGCCATATTTATCACAACGTTTCGGCCGTTGTACGCTCCGGCCTTCTTCAGGTGGTTGGAATTTTGAACTGAACCCTTTATTTCGCTCACTTGGGGTAAGGCTTCAAGAACACCAGAAAGCTGTAACACGAAGGGAAGTAGAAAAATCAGGCGTGGCTGACCACATATGGAGAGAGAAGGGAGATCACCGCACTCTGTGGGATCATGTTGAGATCATAGACAAGGAACACCATTGGAAAATTCGTAATCTAAAGGAATCAGCACATATGCTAGGCCACAAAAATCTCCTGAGCCGACCAAGCATAGAAATAAATACGGGATACCAATAATAAGGAGTGCCAGAGAAAAACAATGATAACAAAGTTGCAATATGAGCTCTGGAAAAACATGCAATGATAACAACAAAAATAGCAATATGAGCACTGGTAAAAAATGGTAGCTGAAGACATTAGGTTTATAATACCCAGAAATTCATACCCAGATGTCCTCAAGGACACATGGCACACTGGATAAAGGCGTTGGTTAGATCCAGTGACAGGACCGAAAGAGTGTGAGTTCAATACCCGGTTAAGGCAGAGGGAAATTAGCAGGATATAACTGATAACTGACATCCATCTAGAACAGTCTACCTCAGTGAGCGTAATAAAGGGTTCAGTTCGAAATTCCAACCACCTGACGAAGGCCGGAGCATACAACGGCCGAAACGTTGTGATAAATATTGCGACAAAGATGAGGACAATCTGTCTATTCCGTTTTCGGGTTCTCATTGAAAATGAAGTAATATAGAAATGAATTAATCTTTTAGAATATAGATCGCCATCTATTTACATAGATTATTGATTTGGAAATAACCCTAAATTAGAATTAAAATTGGCACGTTTGCGTTATTACTATTCAGTGTAAAATGTATTTTATAGAAAAGAAAATATTTTTTGCATTTCTCACATTTAGTTTGAATTATTTGTAAAGATGCTAGTATATTGGAATAGTCGTTCATTTGCAGTTTTATTTACATATCGAGAATGAAATAATAATAAAAAAAAAATCAACATCGTCTATTTAAACTGAAGCAATTCGAAACAATTCAGCGCTGAATATTGACGCAGCCCGAAATTCAATTTTCCTTTAAAGATTTTACCCGATGTCTACACTGAAACGATCATCAGACCCGACTGATAAATGTTATGTTTTTTTTTTATTCAGTTTTCTTGGAAAGCCTCATGTAAATCCAAATAGAATATAATGTGGAATAAGTCTTTTTCTTCAAATAATTTTCTGAAAAAAATGAAGTCAGTTCAATACAAACAGAAAGTCGTGTTTCCGCTTGGAAAATTTTCATGTAAAAAGAAAAAAGAATTTTAATAAAATAAAATATTAAAAGTGAACCCGTAAATTACTTTCTTTTAAGTCATGTGCATGAAAAGGATAATTTCAAAAACACGTCAACTGTTTATTCATTTAATTGAACACAGGAGGCAGTTTATATCGCATTTTGATAGAACGTCCCTGTCATTGGAAATAACTGTTTCTTTCACTAAAAAATTGAAAGGTATGTGCCATGTCCCTTCAGGACGTTGGCGATCATGGCTCTCCACAATTTCTTGTCCATTATAGCCTTTATTAAAGTTTGTCTTTTTGCTATATCTCTTAATCCCTGTCCTGCCAACAATTTACACGAGATTGTTGGTGAGATTATGCACTGCCTTCCTCTGTCCCTCTTCCCTTCAATATGTCCTGTGAGTATCAAATTTTCCAAGCCTTCTTTCGTTATTATATCCTATAGGAATATCAACAGTCCCTCTGATGTTATGTACAAGTGTTCTTTTTGTTTCCATTACCTCTAGAATTACGTAGTTGCTCACGTGTTCAGCCCATGGTATCCTCAGCATCATTCTGTAGAACCACATTTCTGTTGACTCAAATCTCATGTTTATCTGTGATAACATTGTCCATTTTCTTTATCCAAGTGGGAAAAAGATTCGTTCACTACGATATTCTTTTCTTTTTTCAAGTGGAAAAAAAAGATTCGTTCACTCCGAAATTCTTTTCTTTGTTCAAGTGGAAAAAAGATAATTTCACTTTGATAGTTTTTTCTTTGTTCAAGAGGAAAAAAAAGATTATTTCAGACCGATAGTCTTTACTTTGTTCAAGTGGAAAAAAGATTCGTTTACTCAGAAAATCTTTTCTTTGTTCAAATGGAAAAAAGATTAGTTCACTCCGAGACACTTTTCTTTGTTCAAGTCGAAAAAAAGATTATTTCACTCCGATACTCTTTTCTTTTCCAAATAGGAAAAAAAAAAGATTATTTCACTCCGATACACTTTTAATTGCTCTAGTGGAAAAAGATTATTTCACTCTGATACTTATGTCTTTGTTCAAGTGGAAAAAAAGATTATTTCACTCAGATACTCTTTTCTTTGTTCACGTGGAAAAAAATATTATTTCACTTCGATACTCTTTTCTTTGTTCAAGTGGAAAAAAGATTATTTCACTCGGATACTGTTTTCTTTGTTCAAGTCGAAAAAAATATTACTTCACTCCGTTACTCTTTTCTTTGTTCAAGTGGAAAAAAAAAACATTCGTTCACTTAAATAATCTTTTCTTTGTTCTAGTGGAAAAAAGATTTGTTCACTCCGATACACATTTTTTGTTCAAGTAGAAAAAATGATTAATACACTCTGATGTTCTTTTCTTTGTTGAAGTGAAAAAATGCGTTCACCCTATACTCTTTTCTTTGTTCAAGTGGATAAATGATTCGTTCATTCCGATACGCTTCTCTTTGTTCAAGTGGAAAAAGGTTTCTTTCACTTCAATACACATTTCTGTGTTCAAATGGAGAAAAGGATTAATACACTCCGATAAACTTTTCATTGTTCAAGTGGAAAAATATTATTTCATTCCGATACTCTTTTCTTTATTCTAGTGGAAAAACGGATTTGTTCACTCCGATATTCTTTTAATTGTTCAAGTGGAAAAAAGAAATGTTCACTCCGATATTCTTTTCTTTGTTCAAGGGGGAAAAAGATTCGTTCACTCCGATACACTTTTCTTTGTTCAAGTTGAAAAAAAAAAAAGATTATTTCACACCGATACTCTTTTCTTTCTTCAAGTCGAGAAAAAGATTTGTTCACTCCGATACTCTTTTCTTTGTTTAAGTGGAAAAAAAGATTATTTCACTCCGATACTATTTTCTTTGTTCAAGTTGAATAAAAGATTCGTTCACTCCGATAAACTTTTCTTTGTTCAAGTGGAAAAAAAGATTATTTGACCCCGATACTCTTTTCTTTGTTCAAGTGGAATAACAGATAATTTCACTCCGATACTGCTTTCTTTTTTCAAGTTGAAAAAAAGATGCGTTCACTCCGATACCCTTTTCTTTTTATTTTGGGACCTTAGCCATAATAACATAATGGACTATTCCATACATAATAAATACTGCGCCACAAGAGAAAGCGGGAGTTCGGTCTGGAGTGAGGTCCGTCAGGAGTCTGTCAGTCAGTCAGAGCGAGAGAGTCAGTCAGTCGAGTCAGAGGCAGTCCGAAACAGAGTCGCGTTCAGACAATTACTACTAAACCTGATTGTTCCTACTAACACTTTCTACTTCTCTGTATATATTCCTGTTTGTAATATATCTGTGTTATTCCATATCCGTGTTCGAGTTCTTCTTTATTGGTTCTACCTTGGACTATCACCGTGGTACAAGGAACCGGACCATAACAGTGGCGATGAGGAAACCAACTCTCTACGCGGAGGATATACCTTTTTTTGCTTTTTGTTGCGCATAACAAGTGGCGAATAAGATTCGAACTCTCACGTGAAGGACAAACAACAAAATCATCTCTCGTCAACATAACAAGTGACGACGAAGAAACCCCTAAAAAGGAAATACGAACTCTATACACGGAGGACATATTTTTTTTTTGCTATACGTCGTACGTAACAGTGGACGACGATTAAATTCTAAAAAAAAAAAAAGAAAATGTTCTTTTCTCGATATCAAATTTCACTGACAACAAAGGAATTTTTTTTTGCGAACACAGGTTACAGAATGTCAGGTTGCACAAAAAAAATACGTTAACATGGAAGATTTTAAGTCAACCATTATGGAACTTATCAAAATACAGTTTGAACAACAACAAAGGTACGAACAAAAACATCTGGAAATGCAAGAATTATTGATACGTGCAATGGCAAATAAGGAGCAAAAACCCGAGAACGAATCAGTTCTCTCTCAAGACGCTATTTGGAGTAATATAAAAGATATCAAGTACGCACACGACGAAGATAAAACTTTTGCAAATTACTTCCGAAGGTATGAAGATCTATATGATTTTGACTGCAAAGATTGGTCAGACGCACGTAAAGTACGCCTTTTATTAAGAAAATTAGGCACAGGCGAATATACCAAATTTGTTGATTATATCCTTCCCAGAAAAACAAGCGAGTTAACGTTCAAAGAATCTATAAAATTGCTAACTGAACTTTTCAGCCATAATACTTCACTATTTTATAAAAGATGGAAATGCATGAACCTTACAAAAAAGGATAGCGAAGATTACGTAACTTTCGCATCCATTGTTAATAAATATTGAGACGACTTCAAATTATCGGAACTCAGCGCTGACAACTTCAAATGCTTAATTTACGTCCAAGGTCTGGTTTCAACCAAAGACGCAGAAATGAGACGTAGAATACTTACTAAATTGGAAAATGAACAAGATCTGACACTTCAAAAACTAGCCGAAGACTGCCAGAGATGCGTCAGCGTAAAAAAAGACTCTAAAAACATAGAACAAGCTGGCATAGCATACATACGCAAAATACGAAGACAAACAAATTTTCCCTCCTCACAAACAAAGCAAACAAATTTTCCCTCCTCACAAATAAACCGAACTGATTTTCCCGCCCTAAGAACAGTTCTAATTATAATCAAGATAAAAAGAAACTACCACCAAGTCCATGCTATCGTTGTGGATCTTGGCATTGGGTTAAAGACTGTACACATCGTGCTAAAACTTGTCTATCATGTAAAAAAATTAGTCACAAAAGTTCTCACTGTTGGTATAGAAAAGAAAACAGAATAAGAATTACGAGGACCGACCAAACAGATGAGACTAATATAAGAAAATATGTACAAGTTGAAATGCAAAACAGAAAAGTTAGGTTACAGCTGGATTCTGGCTCAGACTTAACTATCATAAATCTACAAACATGGAGAAAACTGAACAAACCTGTCATGTTAAAAACGAATAAAATTGCGAGACCAGTTACGGGGAGAAAGATAAAATTCGAGGGTGAAATAATCACAAACGTAACATTTAACAGAATGAAGAAAAAACTAAAAATGTACGTCTTAAGAAATACCGAAAACCTATTCGGGACAGACTGGATGCAAAAATTCGAATTGTGGGATCTACCTATTAGCACCTACTGCCAAAATGTAAAAAGCTTATCAACCAAGGCAGACAAATTAAAAGGAAAACTAAAAACGAGTTTCCCCGAAGTATTTTCGGCAGGTCTCGGAAGATGCAAGAAAGTGGCAGCTAATATCAAAATAAAGGATAACGTCCAACCTGTTTTCAAGAAAAAAAAAGGAGTGTACCGTTTGCGTCAATAGAAAAGATTGACCAATAATTATCTAGACTCGAAAATACGGGCATACTGAAAAAAGTAGAATACAGCAAATGGGCCGCACCGACGGTCTACGTTAAGACGAAATCAGGAGAAATTCGAGTTTGTGCTGATTTTTCTACAGCAATAAAGGACTATCACTATCCGCTACCTAGTCCTGAAGAAGTATTCGCTAAATTAAATGGCAGAAAATATTTTTCAAAAATTGATCTAAGTGAGGCCTACTTGCAAATTCCAGTCGATGAAGAAAGTTCAAAACTACTATGCATAAACACACACAAGGGATTGTACAGAAACCAAAGACTACCATTTGGAATTAAAGTAGCGCCGGCTATTTTCCAGCAGACAATGGATACGATGCTGGCAGGACTAGAATACACAATAGCATATCTGGATGACATATTGATTAATAGCGAAATCGTTGAACAACACTGGCAACATGTACAAGAAGTGTTTAAGAGAATTAAAAGCTACGGATTCAAACCGAAAGAAAATAAGTGTGATTTTTCATGAAGGAAATTAAATATCTTGGCCATATAATAGACCAGAAGGTAGACGTCCAGACCCTGAAAGGTCTACAGCAAAAAAAGATGACAGTTCTAAGAACATAACAGAACTACAAAGTTTTCTTGGATTAGTGTATTATTACCAGAATTCATACCTCAAATGCATAAACTTCGCGCACCATTGAACGAACTGCTAAAGAAAGAAAAAGTTTGGCAGTGGACAGATCAATGCCAGGAAACATTTGAAAAAATAATCAAGACATTAACATCGGATTTTTTTTTTTGGCACACTATGATCCTAAACTAGAGATTATTGTAGCAAGTGATGTGAGCGCCTACGGTGTCGGAGCGTGTATATTACATAAAATGCCAGATGGGACAATAAAACCTATCGCACATGCTTCTCGAACTCTACTACCAGCGGAGAAAAACTATTCATAAATTGAGAAGGAAGCTCTAGAAATTATCTTCGCAGTAACAAGATTCCATAGATACGTCTATGGTAGACACTTTACTCTGCAGACGGATCACAAACCGTTAATAAAAATTTTTGGTTCAAAAAAAGGTCTACCGGTGTACACGGCAAATTGGCTACTTAGATGGGGAACAATTCTTCTGAACTATAATTTCAGATTGGAATATTTACCAACGAAAAGAATCGGGCACGCGGATGGTCTGTCGAGACTTATACCAACAAAGACATAGCCATTGGAAGATACGGTAATTGCAGCCCTTAGAAATGAAGAAGATATAAGAACAGTACTATGTTGTACAGTCAGAAACCTCCCAGTCACATTGCAAGACATAAAAAAATGAAGCCAAAAATGATGAATTTATTAATGAAACAAAAGCAAAAATAGCAGAAAAAAATTAGAAAATTTCGGACAGCTTTTCTCTATGCGATAATGTGCTACTTTACAACAAAAGGGTTGTAATCCCCAAAACTTTACAAAAACGGATACTAAAGTATTTCCACAGAGGATACCCGGGTAAAAATAGAATGAAGTCGCTAATGCGAAGCTATGTATATTGGAAGAATATGCACCAGGATATTTCTCAAATGGTGGAAATGTGCAAGGGTTGTAATTTAGCAGCCAAAGCACCGCCAATCATACATAAGCCTTGGCCTGAAACTGATCGTACATGGTCAAGAATACATGCAGATTATGCAGAACCAATTGACGGGTTCTACTATTTAATCATAGTTGATAGCTAAAGTAAATGGCCAGAGGTGTTTCGGTGCAAAAATCCTACTACAGAAACGACCATAAATTTTCTCCACGAGCTATTCGCTCGGTTTGGCGTAGTGGACTGTTTAGTAACAGATAACGTAACACAATTCACGTCAGCAGATTTCCAAGAGTTTTGCGAAATCTATTAAGTAAAACATAAAATTCCCGCCTTACCATCCAAGATCAAATGGACAAGCGGAGAGATTCGTGGATACTCTCAAAAGAGCATTACGAAAAGTGTACGATGTGCCTACGGAGAATGCATTACAGCATTTCCTACAGGTATATAGAATAACGCCAAATAATATGACACCATCAACATTATCACCAGCAGATATCATGTTTGCTACGAAAATCAGATCAGTGTTCGATAAATTACTACCAAGTAAAACAAAACAAGTAACACAGTCCTACACACCAAAAAGAAAATTCCTCCCAGGGGAAAAAGTTTTTTTAAGGCATACAAAAATAATAATACCTCTTGCTGGGAACAAGGGATAATTGAGAAAAGAATTGGCAATATGATGTACATAGTTCAACAAAAAAAATCTCCACACAGAAGACACGTAAACCAAATAAGGAAGAGACCGTTACAGGATGCTAACGGTCCACCTCAAGAAGAGGTATTGGACATGATTTTCGACACATTCGATATAACAAGACCGAAAATAATGCCAGAACCAAGAAAATCGTCGAGAAAAAGAAAATTTACTGAACCTTTAGATATTAAAAAAACCCTGCTACGCAAAATTTTCGGAAGGGGGTGTTATGGGACCTTAGCCATAATAACGTAATAGACTATTCCATACGTAATAAATACTGCGCCTCAAGAGGAAGCAGGGAGTTCAGTCTGAAGTCTGGAGTGAAGTCCGTTAGGAGTCTGCCAGTCAGTCAGAGCGAGCGAGTCAGTCAGTCGAGTCAGAGGCAGTCCGAAACAGAGTCGCGTTCAGACAATTACTACAAGACCATGGAATAGTGATACTGGTTGAAATTACATTGTTCTCCCTACTAAACCTGATTGTTCCTACTAACACTTTCTACTTCTCTGTATATATTCCTGTTTGTAATATATCTGTGTTATTCCATATCCGTGTTCGAGTTCTTCTTTAATTGTTCTACATTGGACTATCACTGTGGTACAAGGAACCGGGCCATAACACTTTTTCAAGTGGAAAAAAAAAAGATTATTTCACTCCGATAGTCTTTTCTTTGTTCAAGTGGAAAAAAAAAACAAAACAAAAATTGTTAACTCCGATACTCTTTTCTTAATTCAAGTCGATAAAAGATTAGTTCACTCCGATACTCTTTACTTTGTTCAAGTGGAAAAAAAATTATTTCACTCCGACACTCTTTTCTTTTTCAAGTGTAAAAAAAAAGATTATTTCAAACCGATACTCTTTTCTTTGTTCAAGTGGAAAAAAGATTCGTTCACGCCGACGCTCTTTTCTTTGTTCAAGTGTAAAAAAAGATTATTTCACTCCGATACTCTTTTCTTTTTCAAGTGGAAAAAAAATTCGTTCACTCCGATACTCTTTTCTTTGTTCAAGTGGAAAAAAAAAGATTTGTTCACTCCGATACTCTTTTCTTTGTTCAAGTGGAAAAAAAAAGATTAGTTAACTCTGATACTTTAATATCTATGAGAAGTTTTTATTCTTACGCTCAAAAAAATAAGAATAATTTCACCAAAATCTTTCTTAAATAAATAAACTGTTCTCATCCACCTAAGAATATTTGTGACTTTGTCTTAATATACTTATATCACATCCTTGGCAGCCAAAAAGAAATTCAGTTTACACATACACACACAGACACACTCACACACAGAATCAAATGCTCACAACTCATGCACATAGGTAAATGCACAGCCACACAGACAAACGTTTACAGAGAGTGTTTCTGTAAGAATTTTTCTCGAATAACTAAAATACTGTCATCAACGTGACAAACTTCATTAATTTTAAATTTTTTTTTTATCTATATTGGACTTTATCGGCTTCGTGTCAAGTCGGTCATTCTGAGAAATATTTTATGAAATAACATCTGAGACAATTCATACATTCAGGCCATCACCTGAATTTTGTCCTGAATTATTGCTTCATCTCATAAATGTTATTATCATTTGATGAAAAACCACAAATAATTCACTTTTACTTAAGCGCATATGATAATGGTTATGTATTTGTCTTTTAAACGTGTGTCGTTCTTGATTCATTTATTTAGATACTTAATTCATAGGTTCAGCTTATAATATCTCCATATAAAATATTGGTGATAAATTGTTTGGGGCGTGTCATTTTTTATTATGCAGAAATGCATATCGGTTTTATTCATAAATAACACCAAATAATAAAGGAGATAGAAACAAATATTTGATTAACCAATATTTCATTTTACCGAGAAATCTTTATTTTATTATTATCATATTAATATGGAATCACTGACATTCTATAACCTTCAGTCAGTCAGTTATGTGCCATGTGTGATACACGCTTAGGTGATCATCTATCTTTCGATACATGACTGACGAGACAGATTTTTTTCCCGCTGTAGTTAGACCAGTTGCCATTCAAAGGTATTAGTACGTAAGTGAATGTAATAGATTTGACTGAAATTCGAACTCGGCTCTCCGATTCCTCAATCCGAGCCACTATGCATTATTCCACCGTGCCTCCAATAACCTTCACATGTCTTTAATTCCCTAATTTTGTTAAATTATACATTATTTCAAATTTAGCATTACTGGAGGCAGTTTTCATAGCTTCCTAGAGCTTTTTGTTTCAATATCCACTTTCATATACTTCACTTTTAATGATCGACCACAATTTTTTCTGTCTTCTATTGAATCAATAACTGAAGATGCTGGAGGCCATTCCATTAAGATGATATTTTAAAAACCTTTTATTTTTGGCAAGGTGGGCAATAGACAGAAGGAATCCTGTATTAATATGTAGGAATCCTTTTGGCTGAGATGAAGTCACGTGGATCACATGACGGCAGCTTAGTGATGCCACTTCATAGACTGATGAAAGTGGCTAGTCAGCCTGGAGTCAAGACACACGAGTTGTCCGTCCTACTTTTGACTTCTGCCTGGGCTAACCATCTGCCACGTGGTGTAGCTTACAAACCAATGGCACCATTTTCATATAGAAATATATCTTCATCAGATATAAAAACTCCAGCTCATAGACGGCAATTTGGGAATAACTCATAACTCGTCGTTTTTCTGTTTGATGGATATATCCTCGCTACTAACATAACAGATATATCCTATCCGCTCGAATCTGGAATCATAATTATGGCTTCTCCAGAAACACAAATGTATATCTGGTAGTTAAAATTCTCGTTACAAGTAACTTTATTTTTGCCTCGTTTCACTATGCTTGTTGTTGCATGCATGTTATAGTTTCTCTGTGTGGCATAAATGTAAATATGTATAAAGAATCTTGTGTATGACTTAACGGTTTAAAGCACTCACTGAAAACAAAACATGTTTGTCATTCCTTTCCTTTCAGCTATTCCGTGCCGTTCGTAAAATATTTTCTTATTATATCATGGATATAATAAATTTGTCAACACAACATATGTCTTTTTATTAAAAAATCTTTCAAGAATAAAATATAATTTTCTGAAACTTTATTTGAGGAAGATTAACTGATTTAAAGTTTGATTTGAGTTAAAACGAATATTATTTTTAGTTTAAAATATCGCACAAAAGCGAATAGGTGTTGATGTTTGCGAGATTTATGTAAGGGGAAAATTGTAGCAAAATTACTTGAAGAATGCAACTTAAATTTTTTTGTATAATTTTTTTTTAACTACCCAGTAATCTTAAACATTTCAGAAAATATTCCAAGTATTTTAATTTTTTTTATTGAATTTTAAGCACTTTAGCTTTATAGTCTTACTTATGAAGTCGCTTGTTGAAGAAATGTTAGAAAATTACTAATAAATTTTAAATTTATTATAGTTACCGCTGTTATTTTCTCATAATGTCGTATATGGACGGCCATATTTACAAATATCGGCACATTTATACACACACACACACACACACACACACACACACACACACACAAAAAAAAAAAAAAAAATCATTGTTTTAATAAATACTGGAGCATCGCTGAATTGTAGTAGGCTTTGCTGTTTATGTTTAGTCGATATAGATTTTACTTAACAATATCACTTAACCGCAATAAATTAATACAGAATTTTAAAAGAATTAAAGTTTTATGAATTATTCCATTTTTAAAAGAATGAAAACGATTCTTGTAAAAATTCATTATTCATCGAAAAGATCTTTTTTCTTAAAATACATAATACTTTTTAAGAATCCATAATATATTTTATTCATTAGAGCAATTAAAAGCGTTTCTAATTGAATAATGTCCTAGTTTTATGGCATTTTTTATTTTCGATGCAGAGAAGATTTCCTCTGAGTGTCCTGTTTGACTAAAAAGTCAAAAATCCTCGTATGACTGGTCCTTAATATAAGCAGTAAACCCTTACGAACATGAATTACTCAAAATTTCATGAAATTAAATAAGCGGGGTGTAACAAATGTAAAAAAAATATTTTTAGCAAAATTTTCTAAAAAAAAGAAACATTTAAAAAATAATTTAATTAATTTGTGAATATGTTCTGAAAGTTTCATTAAAATCCGATAAACATCTGGTATTTCCTTTTCACATTTCCTATAAAAATTTATTGCTCCCAAGATGACGCTTGAAAAACAAAATTTTTAATTAAAATTTAGGAAGTTTTAAAAATATTAATTTTTACACGAGTAAATCCTTTGGCCTTTCTTAATGATAACACAGTTTTTGACGATAAACCTTTGTCCATATTAAGTCTGGGGCATTTTTCCTCACTTATACTAATATTTAGCGAATCTTTTGAGGTACGTATATATATATATATATATATATATATATATATATATATATATATATATATATAGTTAAGTTATGAAAAACTTGGTAAACCGTATGGGTAATCCCAAGGAGGATGAAATCCTGAGAGCTCAATGTAAATCCAGAGCTAATATTTTAAAGAACCCATTTACGGCCTCTTTCTCTTTACTTCCCTCTCCCTCTTCTTACTTTTTCCTCTTTCCTTTTTCTTTTCTCTCTTCTCCCCTCCCTTTTCAATATATCACTTCCGTTAAGTTAACCGTTTAAATAGGTTGAGGTCTGGTCACTTCTCCTCCCCCAATACTAAGTATGATTGAGAGAGATATGAAATTAATCCCTCTCTAAACTCTACCATGTATCTCTAACTACCCCTTTTACACACTCTGTTAAATTACAAAAACTTACACTACCCATCAATTTTCATTTCATTTTTCGTCTCATTTTTTGGAAGTGCTATCTGATGATCCGACGTTCTTTAAAAGGGCTCTGGTGAAATAAATTATTATAATGATACCTTAAAGTGGTCTGTTTTTCTTTTATAATGGTACCTTAAAGTGGTCTGTTTTTATATATATATATATATATATATATATATATATATATATATATATAATGAGAGAGAACACCAAAATACAGGTTTATAGAGCACCCCTTTTGACCACACTGTTGTACGGATCAGAATCGTGGACTCTATATAGGTCCCAATATCAATCAGCTGCATTTCTTCCACAAAAGTTTTCTCCGCGTGACATGTGGCTATATTTTTAACGATAACGTGTCCAGTGTTGACCGCAAATGCAACATTGCTAGAACTGAGACATTCCTGATGCAGTCTTAACTTCGCTGGGCTGATTATGTTGCAAGAATGCATAATGACAGAATACCTAAGGCCCTCATGTATAGCCAGCTTGACACTGGACAAAGTTTGGTTTCGTTTGGTTTGTTTTATTTTACGGTATATCAACCTCAATGGGTCATTTAATACCGACAACTTTTTTTTTCTGGTAATATTTTTGTTTTGTCAAAAATCTATTTCTGTTAATATTTTTTTCCTCAAAAACGTATAGCTGGTAATTTTAATTTTTTCAAAAACGTACAGCTGACAACCTTATTTTTCCAAAAACGTATTATCAGAGGACTTGCTGTTGGACGTAGTTTATCGTCTTACCCAGGACGCAGATGTAGTTTTTCGTCGTACCCAGGACGCGTGTGTAGTTTATCGTCATACCCAGGATGCGGATGTAGTTTATCGTCATACCCAGGACGCAGTGGACAAAGGAGTGTTGGACGGCCGTGACTCAAGTATAAAGGCAAGCTAAAGAGAAACCTCTCAGTTGTCAATGCGCCTCATACTAACACGGAATCGTCATATAACCTGATGTGCTATACCATTTAGCTACAGATGAAGCGTCTGCTTAGCAAGGTTAAATTACTGTTTTTAAACTACACATTTCCCATGACTTCTCTCGAATGCTCATATCTGCTCGAAGCGTATCAACGTAAACAAGTGACATTATACATTATGAAATAGACTAAGTCCGACAATTATTTCAATATATTCTCTGTTTATACGTTATTTCTATACATACAAATATTTAAGTAAATGCTATATTTATAATAAACAGTATTATTAACATTTACCGGCTAGAACGTCCGAGAAATCTCAAAGAAAATATGTGTCCTCCGACAGGAATCGAACCTGT